GAATCAACCAAAACCATTTGAGGTTGTATCGAGTCTTAAATAGGAGAGTTATAACATGTCAGATACTCATAATTTATGTCATGTAGTTCGTGTTGTTTTTATTATATCATCAAAGGCTTGTCCATTTCAATGTTAGCTCTTCTGATCATATTTCCTTTTTGGACATAGTGGTGCAATATATATAAAAAACCCGTGGACTATTACTTGAATAACTTATTATACATTTAATATTTTGACAACGCGCTCAGCGTGGTGAAATTGAGACTTAGAAACAGAATGACAATGTACAAGTATGCAATGGTGAGAAAACTCCCACACCTAACTACAGCCTAGAAGACCGAAAAGTCAAATCAAAAGTGGCTCGTAACTATGTCACATTCACAGACCGTAGACGGGCGTTTGGCGTAATAACAATAGGACTCTGAAAGCTCTGGTTCGTTTATGGCACAGTGTCTTACTGTCTACCTGTGGTTCATGGACCCCTAAGGGGTCCGTGTAAGGAACGCCGGGAGTCCTACCTAACATAAAGGAACAGCAACCGTCACACTAACTACTCATATGTAATTAAATTAAGTTTAATCGCAAACAATATAAGCTAGTAAAAGCTAAACCGATTTTAAACCGACTTCAAAAAAAGGAGGAGGTTCTCAATTCGACTGTATATATGTGTTTTTTTATATGTATGTTACGCGATAACTCCGGTATTTGTGAACCGATTTTCATTGTTTTTTCATTTGTTTGTTGAAAAGAGGGTACCTCCCAGTGGTCCCATTTAATTTTGAAGAAAATCATCCACCTCGAAGGGTGGCTGTTCACACATGAAGATTCATTTTTATAAATAGCGCCTAAATTTTGTTATAAGGAGCAATTATTTTAATTGTTGATTTTGCTATTCTCCAATTGAAGGCGTTTTTCTGTTTGAATATACTTTTAATAGCGACAACCGATTTTTATTATATCCTATGTCAAGTCCCGTATAGTGGCGAACTGGGAAATGAATCCGGGTTTGCGCACTTTCTGGTAACCGATTTTAATAAAACTTGGTAATTAATTATATGTAATTCCACGTACTTTTGGGGTCGGCTTTTTTAGTAGTTTGTACTGAGAATATTATTATCTTTTCGGAAAGGGTCCGTGGGCTCTTTGACATTTTGAGAGGGGCACATGACTAGAAAAAGGTTAAGAAACTCTGGTTTATAGACTGTAATATAAAATATTCACCTTATCTTTTGTTTTGCACAATGCAATACGCTACAAATACTTTATTTTAGTGGCAGTAGAACGTCTTAATAGATTAATGAAGAATAAATTTTTCTTAATAAAAATTCATATTGTTACAATAAAAAAAATTGTAAAACAATGTAGCGTAAATTGAAATGTTTCCTTGTAAAATTAAAAATAAGGTATTTACTTAATAACTTTTGTAACTATAGCGAAAAAATAGGGTGGTTTGCATTAATATTAGACATAACTGGTTGATGACTGTACCACCTCAGTTAACCGTGACCATGGGACCTGTTTGTTTGCAAAAACAAATATACACGATTTAAATACGGAAAAATAGTTTCATTTCCTATGTGTAACAATCGCGAAAACCTAAGAACTCGATAAGTAGAACTCCTTGTGATAGAGTTCGTCCAGGCAAGTACTGCCACCTTACCTATTTCTGCCGCCACGCCAATGGTTCCGGTGATAATAGGCATATGGGCCTAGTTGTCCGTCAGATATTTATGGTTTAAATCTCTAAGTGACAATGCAACTGCTATGGACAGGTGTGCCTCGTAACACCAGGCGCACGACTTGTTCGTCCCATCACAAGATATCATAAAAAAATTATGTTTTATTTATTATAAATCAAAACAAAGCCTCATAACTAATTAAAATGTAGTCTTTTTAGAACACTAATAAGCAATTTTAATTTAACATCTTTCCTATGGGTAATAAAAGTAATTTATATAAATAAATTGTCTATCGACAAAATATCTTTTAATATTAGTTACGAGTCTATACAACCTCAAAAGGCTTTGGTTGATTC